ACAATTTGGTGATATCGGTATTTTAGTCAGATTGGCGTTGTTGTAAAGGTGGCGAATTCATTAACTAGCGACTTTAGACCCCCCTTAGCGATTTCATATAAATCAAAAAGAAGGATTGGCTGCACGAAGGTCTTGTATTTAAGACAACATCACCTGATCAAACATCGTAATCGACACGTGTAGCGATACAAAGCAGAGATACAAAGACCTATTGTTTCCACACTGAAGCGTGTAAAGAACAGTTCTGCCAAATAACATCATGTCAGCACTTGGGAGAAGAAGGGGCAGCACATCTTCGAGGTCTTCAGTCTTCGAGTGGGAGTGGTGGAATACGTCAGCCGAAGGATTCGTGGGAATGGAGGCATTCGGATTCGACATTCAAGATTCAGATCCAGACTGTGGATGGCCACAGTGGCTGAGACTTAACGATGATGTTGATCACTTGCTCTGAGATTGCAGAAGGATTAGTTTACTAAGTTTATTAACTATTGTTAGTGGTTATATGTAATAATATTGCTTTCCCGTTGCCTTTTATCTATCGGAAGCATGGCGTTGATTTTATTGGGTGAGTAAAAACTCTGCCTTTCGGCTCATGACTTTATAAGTAATTTCAGCCTAATGGCTCATGTGATGATGCATGTGAGGGAGTTCATTCATTTAAGAGTACATAGACATTGGCAAACAAGGTAACGTTACCATTTCAATAATATTGACTATACTTATGTATAGTTTGCGAACGATATTCATTTGCTGCTCTCACTGCGGCATTTTCCGTCAGCGTTAATTTCACATGGGTGAATCGAGTCATCTTTTTTTTTCTTCTTTTTCATCTTCTGCACTATTTTTTTTTTCATATGCATTATCCTTGCTCGGCAAAGCAGGCAACATGTTTACCACCTCTGCGACGACAAAAACGACGAATTGTTTGTCGACGTCCCTCATCATCAGACGGGAGGTATGCAGACCCGTCGGCTTCCAGCGGAATCGCGGACTGTCTCTTATTTTAGCGGAAGGATGCGATCACCCGTTGCAATCGTCGGAAGTCGCACATTCCATCGCGGTGGAGCTCTGGAGCAACCTCCAGCGGACCCTCCAATTCAGGCATCTTAGAGCATCGGTTTATATGTGCCATCGCAGCGAACAGACTTTTCCTAGCCGCTCCACGTGGTTGCCAAATGATACTTGGACTTTTTCGCAGCTGCGAGCTTCTTCTTTGCCGCAGCCGTAGCTGCTGCAATCTTCGCCGAAGCACTGGTCGCTGCGGCCGCAGCAGCCTGTTGCTTCTTGGTGGTGCTGCTCGCCACAATCGCAGACGTTTTAGCCGCACCCTTGGCGTTGCGCATCACAGTTGACTTTTTGGCGGGAGAAGTCGCCTTCGCAGCAGAAGAAATTTTCGATGATGCAGAAGATTTCTTAGCGGCAGCGCCAGCGGTTGCTTTCTTTGCTGCCGCCTTCTTTTTCTGCTGATGCTGGGTTCCAGCAGAACCTCCGGATGACGCCAACTTGAACGATCCCGATGCACCCTTACCTTTGGTCTGAATGAGCGTGCCGGACGCGACAGCAGCTTTCAGGTACTTCTT